GGTGAAACGAACGACGTGCATAGTGTGGTGGTGAACGCGTTACTCCCTGGAAAGGATAATAGCGCGTTCGTTCCCCACCATAGACACCTGCGGTCCAGAGTTTTGCAAATATCTCAGCAACATTGTGGTTGTATTTCGCTTAGTAACCTGCCATGAAAATTATAGAAGGCAGAAAACAAAACGTTAAAACATTCTAACATTTTAGTTTGGAAACTGCGATCTACTCAAGATTTCCATCCTTAAGCTGTCTTATAGCACCAACAGAAGTGAATCAAGCAGAAACATAGCAACCACCGAGCGTTGTCCTTGCAAAGGCAAATTATCTGGCTTCACACAGAAAACTTGGAACGCAAACACATAGGTGAGGCTTAGTATCTAAATACATTTTCGTTTTTGCGTTACAAGGAATAAGAGATGGCAGCTGGTTTCTAGTTTTAAACAAAGCTATGTCACTGTTCCTAGTGCTTGGACAAAATAATTAACAATATCTTAAAAAGCCAATTTTTATCCAACTTCGACGTGTGAAGTCAATATTTCTTTCCGTTCGTAAGCCTGTACTAGGTAGATATGCGATTTCTTTTAGACTAACGTTTTGATGCACTCGCGCCTCCTACTGCTGCGATGATTGGAAGCCGCTGTTCGCAGTGTTTTTGTGAATTTCGTTTAAACCAATGAATTCGAAAAAATGATTAGTAGTAGCTGTTTTTGGAGCTCCTTCGAATATTGTTTATGAAACTCATTGAAAACAATTCCGTCGATGTTGTCTGTGTGTTTCGTGCTCTGGTGATGATAGGTGACATGTTTTCAAGATCCCGATACCAGGTTATCATTATCGTGTGGATGATGGCTTTGATGGGCGCCTACATTCTCGTGGCGTCCACTCTACAATTCATTTCGTCGATCTGTCACCTGTTTTTCTCATTATATGACCAGGTCATCTGTGTTTACGATCGATGTGTGTTTTCCTGGATCCTGAAGATGAGATCGATTTCGATGATCACATGTTCGCAATTCGGCTAGATATTCAGTACCCTGCTTATGTCTCGGAAGACGTAGTTCAAGCCTTCTATGTGTAGGGCGCAGTATTGTTGACGTGGTTGAATTCAGCCCACGTGTCAGCAGCATAACAGAGCTCGGTGGGACCGATGAATAGAAAAAGGAAGGGTTTCCGGTTTTTGCAGCTGGGCAGTGGCTTCTTTGAGAGACTTGAATACTGTCTAAGCTGCTTTCCTTGTTCTGTTTAATTTATCCTTCATGTTGTTTTCTATGTTTGTTCTCACCCAAGGTATACGCATGAAGTGGTCTCTGCAATCAAATAACCATCAAATTCAATTTGTTCGGCTTCGCACTTTGGGTTCTTTATGAACTGGGTCCTCCTCGGATTTAAGTCTAGTACTATAATTTTCCCGATTTGTTGAGCTAATTGATCATCGCTTCTCCTTCCTTGATACTTCTTGAGAACGTCACGATACAACCCGCGAAAGGCATACATGACGAGAATGTGTTATCATCACGTATGCCGCTCTCGTCCAATTAAATAGCTTCATTAGGCTCTACAGTGCGGCACTAAACAGCTTTGGCAATATTGTGTCACCTTGTCGAACCCCTTTGTATTTCCACAGCGCGTTTACGATAACGGTGAGACAAAAATATTACGTAGGGTGGGTCACCTCCTCAGTTGACGAGCGCTAAGATAGGATTGTATTCGTTTCGACACTGTCATACGTTCTTTAATAGTGAGCAAAAGATAAAACTAGGAACAGGTGGTATTCCCGACAAACTTCAACGACCTTCGACACAGTTTGGATACTGTCCATAAAGTAAAATCCCTGTCGAAATTCAGCTTTCTCAACTGTTTGCGCTTCATCTAGTGCCCTTAATATTCGCGACACGATAATCCTCGTGAACAGCTTGTAGAGTACACTCAACAAGGATTTTGGACGGCAGCTACGAGCATCCCTTCAGTCACCTTTATTGCCCAGGATGAAGGTGTGTTGTGTCCTCCAATGGTCTGGGATTTTTTCCTTTTGAAGGTAGGCTCTCACATGTTTCGCGAGAAGTGCACGTAAATTGTGGCGTCCAGTTCCAAGGAAGAAGACGGTGGTATTATCGGGTGCTGGAGCCGAGCCTTTTTTCATGCTTTCTAAGGCAACTCAAACCCACAAAAGAATTCGAGGTGGTTTTCTCCAAGGACGATTTTAGGGGCTAAGGCTGTGGTTTTGGAACAGAAACGATTGGTACACCACTTTTCCGTCATTGCTTGCATACCATGGTGCAAAGCTTTGGTTATTCCATATTGTTAATTAGAGTTGAAAATGCAGCATTATACTCACGCAAGTCCCGACGACTTTTGTAGACTGGTTCTTTTAGGGATACTTCTAGCAGCTTCTCCTGCCTGTACCGATATAGATCTGCCAGGAAAGCTCTTCTGCAACTGGCATTTATTAGTAGCTGTGTTAAACATGTTGCCGTAAAATCAAGCTTCGGTTTCGCTCTCTTTTCGAGAAACTCCGTAGTGGTAGTGAAAGCATCATCTGATCTTTCTTCTTGACGAACTCAGGCGAAATGCGCTCAACTTATAATACGGCAGCTTTTACGGCAAGCAGCTTGTAGTCTTCATTCAGGTCCCCTTTGATCTGCCAGTCTCGTTTCGACTGGATTTCGTCCAGAATGTTCTTTCCATGCACAACTAGGCTTTTTCTCTTTGGTCGATGACAATTGGCATGAATTGTTTTTTGCCTTAAAACTGCGTTAGAAAGTTTTATTGCTTTCTAGCGCGAAGGGCGCGTGTTGCGTAGTGGTCGGAGGCGTCCTGCAACACACAGTGGAATCGGTCCCTGTGCCCATGCCCTCCTCCCCCTAAGCCTTCCACCCCTCCCGGGTCTACAAATTGGTGCCAGACTTGTCTGGGAGGATAGTAGCACTGGCTCGATACATCAGTAGGCCACCGCGAGTCATTGTAAAGGCCAGATATGCATTCAATCACCTCCAAACGATGGTTAATGATGTCGAATTCATGGTGCATCGCTCAGGGAATGATCAACTCCGAGAGCTTTATTCCTTTATCCTTTATTGCTTTCTAGATGTTTATTGTTCACGGTTGGTTGCATACGAGAAAGCGTTATGTATCTAATAGTAACCCTTTATTTACTGCCCACTGCAACCACCGGTTTTGATCGAAGAACATGAGATTCCTTCATGCACAAATAGCATAATGTCTATTTCGATCTGCCACGGCTCGTTCAAACACCTAATTTTTATTAAAGAGTAGCCTGAGATATTGTGAAAGTTTTAGGTAGAAAAGTCAGTTTTTTAAGCACTATTTTCAAAACTTCTGTAGCTAAACATGCAAAGCGACTAACCTAATCGGTGACCAAGTACTACATTGATGTCTGGTGCTCCTCCGACAGGATTTCTAATTCTAATTAAGGTAACTAAATACTAACCATAGTTTCTAATTCTATCTATACTTCTACGTCAACTGTGTATTATACACCCTATACATAGTAGTGTGCAAAAATTCCGGAACCCAGTGAACCGAAAATGGACACAACAGCGTCATTATTGTTAGCTAATCCAAAGGCTTACAGTCGCTGTAGTGCCCATACTGGGCGTTATAGATTAGGTTTTAAAAAATCTCCTTATTTTAAATTGAAAATCCAAGCTTACTCGGCCTCATTAGAAAAGAACGTGTTTGCCTCCGGACACCAAATTATTAAATCCAAATCACTTTGCTTCGTCGCCAGACCAGTCATAGTGGAGCCAAATGGCAGTAGCTTAAAATTCCATCTCTGCAACGTTTTTTATAACAGCGCAACGACTATGTTCTAATTTCGAATAACGGAGTCACTAGTACAACCGAACAAGCTTAACGAATTTCCAACTATATGCATTTAACTCAGTACAAATGTGGAACGGAGCCTTTAAATTTTAACGTCTTACGCTCAGCTCTGAATCTCGCATAATAATCGCACGGAAAACCCTTAGAGGTTGGCTGCTGGCTTTTGCGAACGTCTTCCATTTGTTAACAACACATAATGAACGGTGGTAGTTTTTCAGCTGCGGAAGATAATTTTGCGACAACTGAAGACTTGGGAGTCGAGAAGATGACAGAGTTGTGGAAGAGAATATAAAAACAATATTTTCAAGCTAACCGTCATTTAACGTCGGTAATAGAATTCAATACGTTCCTGGATTGTTACGCTAACTCGAGCTTAATAAAGGCGTTTATTCGGCTAACGTTTCGACGTCTTCGCCTCAATCAGGACCGACGCTCCTATTCAAGAAGGTAATGATTATAGAAGAAAATCTAATTTATGGTTCTCATGACATATTTGCCACTATTTACTACACGTCACTACGGGCCATCATCCAACCACATTTCTGCCACCAAGTATTGTCCCAAATATACTTTCCTTGAGCTGTACACAAATTTAAGAGCCAGAATACCACTAATCTATGAGAATATTGAAATCGAAGGAAAGAGATGATTCCATCAAAAAGATGCAATCTCGTCAGAATTATTCACGAATACTGAGAAAGCGATGTGAAAATCGGAATAGAGCAGCGAGGAAGTGAATGACGCAGGCCGCTGATTACATCGTCATTGCTTGGTTGATGATATGATTCCTACAACATCAGGAAGCGACCTGGGAGAACGAATGCTGGGCAACTGGGACAAAGTATGTGGAAAAATTAGTCTTCAAGTAAATATCAGGGATGCCACAAGGAACGGAGTCCTATCTGATACCCACTGACGCTGAACGGAGTGGTTGTAAAAGACATCACTTCCCATCACTAAAGTCGCTGTCGAAAGAACAACGCTGGGAGCTCCCGTACTAGAGATGAACTCCGACCCTACTATTTAGGTCAACAATAAAAGAACAAGGATGCCGCTAACTACGCCAAGCTGGCGAAAATGAGGTGGGTTGGACAAGTGATACGTCTAAATGACAGCAGTTTAGTAGTACTCGTTAGTGACTGAGTCCCACGTGATGTCAAGCACATAGCATCAGGGCGATCACCGACGCTATGGTCACAAATCATTTCCAAGCAACGAAACTATGACTGCGAGTTATTTTGCCATTTAAATAAGAGCGCGGGTGGTGACATCATTCATCACGAGGACAGTGATGATTCGAGCTCGCTCCGTGCTCAAAATGCCTTCCATTACTGGAGTCAGAATGCTGGCACCAGACTTGTATGAAACCAGCTCACTCATCTAGTCCACATGAGAACACCTTATCACGGCTATTCCAGGATTCCAGCGAGAATTGCGTCGATCAGCATTTAACAACATTCATTACGAAGGCGGATGTCTTCAAACAGCAGCCGAAGCAACACGCAGTCAAAGTCGGAAGGCCTTCGTGGATCATGAATGCGAGGAGGGCCTACGTTGTGGATGTGGGCTTAGGTCACGCAAAAATAAGTTTGAAAACGAAAACATAGCACTAACCGCACGATTTTGAATGACTTTCCGAAGCTCATCCATCAAGGCCATCTTGATTTCGCAGTCTGCGTTGGTCTACCAATGCAAGTAATTTTAATATTGTAATGAATGAAACTTGACTAAATTGGTGGATGAATATAGCTCACCTGACGGTTAGCTTCAAAATGAAGCAGGACTTCATCGGAGAGTCTCCGAAGCTTCTCGATATTTCTCCGGCTACCAGAAAGGCTAAAGTGAGAATCAAAATTCACTTAAATGATATAGGATTCGTAGAACCAGAATTTGTAGCGCGACTGGACATAATAATATCGAGTGACCACGGATGCATTTAAAAGAAAAGCCTCGACATAAAAAAGAAGCATGATAAAAACTACCTGTGATAACAGCTCCTCCATCGTTTGATGGCCTCAACATTTGGCTCGACAACATATTTGTCCCCGTATTGCTTGCACATCTCCACGATGTTCGAGTCGTCCACTACAGCCAAATCGATTCTTCGGATCATCTGTGAAAAACATATTAATTCGGAAAAATGCGAAAAACACTAAAGTGTTACAATAACAAGATGGTAAACACCATGTCCAATTGAGAATAACAGAAAAAATAACCCAATCAAATCCTGCTGTTGTGATTTATTCAAAAGGAATAGAAGGCGATCCCAGTGCCATAGTAACCTCCTGCTCGCGTTCTAAGCAATTTCGCTCATAAGTTTACTACGCTAACTCGAGGGATCACTAGGTTTTAGCCTTAAGGTACCGCATCGGCTTTTATTTCTCAGTGCAAATCTGGAGAGGACAAAAATCGAACGTGCTCCGCAATTTCACTAAATACGTCACGAAACGCGCCTTTTTAATTAATTCCGCATTTTGGAAACGTTTCTTCGGCTAGCTCCTCCAATTTTACTGTTTCTTTACCATTTGCATTGTCCTTTCTCATTCAAGCGAGAAACTTCGCCTCCAAATTCCCTTTGTGGTTCCCACATTGGAGGAATGCTGGAAATGGGTGTCGACAGCTGTCAGTGATTGAAGTGGATTTTATTCCAAATGCCAGAAATCGCGTTCGAGTGCGCAGTAGTATTTGTTCGACCCCGAAACAGGTAATCCTAACATTAACAGTGACCGAAGGGACGACTTCTGTTGACGCGATGTTGAGCTTTTTCTACTTTTTCCGTATCCAAGGTAAGATAGCGTACCATTCGCCAAGAAATGAATGGGTTTCAATCAAATTGGTAATGATGCCTACATTTCTCGTTCGAACATTCTCTCAAGGGAAGATAAAGGCAAATTTAAAACATATTTACAAATAAATCTCCCTATGAATGATATTGATTTATTCCTCCACTAATCGATAACTGTAGAACTATGAATTTCAGTTGACAAAAAACGATAAAAAATGTGATTCCAGTACAAATATTCCAGTGAAGTAGAGAATCACCTTCAGTTCGAAGTGCGTAGAATTCGAATCGACGCGCGTTGAGGAACCAATCAATATGAATGGATATGAGTTAATGATGATTATGGGTTCACACGTAACTCATTTTCTTACTCGTTGCCTGTTTTGCCATGTAAGTATTACCCTCATTAACGTGTTGTTAACGTGTCATTAACGTGTTAGCTGAGCAACACTGCTCTCAGCATTTTATGGTTTGCAAAAACTTTTTCGTAAATTCAGGACAGTTTTCCGTCTTATTGCATCCCGCGGCTAGCGATTATTGATGGTGTAGGAAGTATTGAGATATCATGGCGGGTGAGAGTGGCTCAGGGGCTACTTTTGGTTAGTAGGGCGTTAGGAAGGGAGAAATATTTGAACCATGAGAAGATTCCTTGCATGTCACGATAGAATGGAGTAGCACTGAAGGCTCAGAAAACTATAAACACGTCGTTTTCTTTCTCAGGAATCGCGAGGCTGTTATACAGCATATATTTCCGTGCAAAACATAGGCAACAGCAGTAGCTGACGTTTCGGTGGCGTCGCCTTCTTCACAGCCTGAAAGGGTACAATGATACGTAATTTACTAGGTTAAACGCTTAAGTAGCACAAACAAAAAGATGAAAGTCGAAACGATAATTAAACGATCACCAGCTTCTCGAAAAATCCCTCGTTTTCACGTGCCTTCCACCACTAAGGAAGAACCACTAAATAGAATCGCATATGGTCGATGACTGCACCACTCCACATCAACGATCGATACGAAGGTACGGGGCGAGATCACGCGTGATCTCGGGGCATTCCACCCTGCTAATCATAGTAGGATTTTTGGCATTTATCCAAAAAGCCTCAAGAAGTTTGCGAGTTGGTGTTTTGGGATCCTGTGCGAGGATAGCGACCTTTGTATCAAAATCGTCTCTGCAATGCTTTTGTAACCTATCGTCCCTAGTGGCGTACCTTGTCCTACTTTTTGTTTACCTTCTAGGGGTTCTTTTTTGCGGTTACATAAAGGTCTGCTCGTTTCGCCAATATATTCGTCTCCACAAGTACAACGAGAGATCAGGTATATCGTACCTGAACCTATGCACTCACCGTCATTGCCATAAGGGCAAGTTACGAAATTCTGCGTTTCACACAGACTGCCATACATATAGACGGTTACGAACTAGTTGACGAAGAAGAGTATCCGGCAATACTGTACTATCACAATCGATTCTTATAGACCTACCGGTCTTAAGCATCGTTGTATACCTACACCTAATTCATCGCTATTAAAGGACACCATAAACGGGAAAACGACGCATTTTCCATCCAGTGCCGAAATAGAAAGCCGATCTTGGGAACTCTCAGTAAACTGTTTCTAATGAAGGAAGCAATAGGCGTAGTTTGGGCATGACGGCCAATTTAGTTTCGATGTGGGTCATATGCCACACATATAGCAATTGGCGGAGCTTTTCCTTTTTTGCTAATTTCAGCTTCCATTTCGTGGGACACTTCATGCACTTAGTATGTGGTAAATAGTGGTCGTGCTAACATCTTTTGCTCTCCTCTCCTTTGTGTTCATCTTTGAATCCACACTTACCCTTGTCGTTATCAGATACTATTTATGGCAAAAACAACGGAAAATAATATGGTACGTTCAAATACACGTGGGACAACTCAGTTCCGTTTTTGAAATTATGGATTTGACAAGTCCTGTAATGCTCAATGTGTGTGAAATCATGAAATTCATTGTTCTGACTCTTTATAGTTTTATTGTGACCGAGTAGCTCTTTAGGAGCTTAGAAGCTTTCATTGTTAGAATTCTTTGATAGGATTCTCCGGCCTCATACCAACCAAAACTTGTGTGACAACATCAGTGGAATACTTTCAAGCCTCTGTTGGTCCAATTTTACCTGATGCCATTTCATATACTAGCTCACTAGAGCTTGATCTTCGTTCACTGCAAATGGCACGTAAGTGTGTCTTAACAATTTATGGCGTATAGGGAGTTAATCGCGGACCAAAAGCGACCGTATGTTTATTTGAGACGTAGGTGGATCCACGGGATGAACTCCCTGTTTCTGCTGCGTCGATTTGGCACATACTTTCTGTATTTGCTAGGTGCATTCATGCGTGCATGTCTGGGTGCGCTCTTGCTTATGCGGATTGTATTCTACGAGTCAACTCGGCCAAAACCTTGCAATCAAGTGACAGAGAAGTATATGAGAGGAGGTTAGGAGTCTTCTCCAACAAATAAGCTCCATGTCCACTCTGAGAGAGCCTGGCAAGCTGTACCCAGCCCCACGTTCAGAGTCTAGCAAGCTACACGTGGGTATCAAAACGCTAAACACAACAAAACAAACGGGCCTCATTACCCTGACCCCGAAAGAGCCCCCAATTTTGCAGCGTTGGGAAGGACAAGTACGGCGAGGCTGCTAAAATCTCAGAGCCAAAGGGAGCTGCCTAGATAGCAAAGAACTACGGTGATGATCTGAACCTACTAGGCGGGCACACTTGCATCCAAGTCTTCGATAGAAGGCTTGATCATGCAAGAAAGAAACAAAAGGCACGGCGCCATCGACCTGGCCTAGACGAGAAGACACCACCCATTCAACGCCATCTATGATACCATAGAAGAACTGTTCCTCGGAACAGGCGACAGTAGGAGAGTCGACGGCGTTGGCGTTCTCGTCAACACGAGTTTGTTCGTGAACATGGATTCATTCGGACAACTAACAACCCGAATCGAACGTTTACGATTAGAAAGATATGGATCAATACCGGCTTTAACAATCTTCGTCGTTTACGCGCCGACATCAAACTGTGACGAAGAAGAAATCGAATCGTTCAATATGGACTCAGAGAAGCTCTACAGAGAAGGCCATTCTTTTCTTAAGGTCACTGAAGAATTTGACGCTAAGATTGGACCAAGAAAAATGTCTGAAGAACGTCACATTGCAGCCCGCGGATTAGAACGGGTCGAGCAGGGTGAGCGGTTCTCCGAGTTTATCATGATGACCAAGACCATTCATGGCTACTCGCAATTCCAGAGTCCCAATCCTCAGCAATGGACGTGGGAGTCTCCCAATAAAGAGTATCAAAGCGAAGTAGGCCGCATCATAGTAAATAGGTTTGGCCTAACCGATGTAGCTGTTGTCCCAAAATTCTACACGGGATCAGACCATCGTCTCCTTCGCGCAAGATTCTATTTCTCGCGGAAAGAAGAAAAAGCCGCTAAATTCCAAAACCGAAGTTCCAGAACCACCGTAAACTGGGATTTATTCAATTCATTAGCCGCTGTTGGAAAGATGTAGTTGTCGATAACATCTACTAAGAATACGATCGGCTCATTCAACATCTTCACGTTAGCGCTATGAAAGCTCAGAGTTCGAAAGTCACTAAGAGACGTCCGTCTCCAGAAACACTCGAGCTGATACGCCAGCGTGGAATCGCACGAGCTGCAGACAACCATGAACTAATGCCCGAACTTGCAAAACAATGCAGACAGTTGATAAAAGAAGATCTTAAAGAGAGAAGAGCAGCAGTAATAGCCGAAACTGCAGAGGCTGGGAAAAGCATTCACACAGTTAACCGAAGGTTCGCCAATTACAAGGCCAAGATAATTGCACTCCAACGCCCAGATGGAACAGTTACAGCGACCAGAAAGGCAATGGAGAAAATCATTCACGAGTGCTATTCATACCTCTTCGGCAGCCACGTCCACCTTCTGTTATATGAAATAAAGGAGGATGGATATGCTGCACCACCGCTTCTCCTTTCAGAAATCGGACATGCCATTTCGTCGGTGAAAAGTCGAACAGCACCAAGACCGGACAGGATAGAACCAAAACACCTGAAAAACCTTCGGTGAGCCCTTGTAAACACACTGGCTCGGCTCTTCACACGTTACCTGTCTGAATGCAAGGTCCCTACTCAGTGGAAGACCTGCAAGACCGTGTTATTGTTCAGGTATGGTGACCTGGACGATATCGACAACTATCGCCCGATCGGCTTACTGTCTGTCGTCTACAAACTTTTCACTCAAGTCATCCTGAACAGAATTGAGAGAACACTAAACGAATGACAGCCATGTGA